ATACTTTACTTTTTCCTGTTATTATTTTTCTGCGACGTTGTTTCTGTGAAGGCGATTTGTCTTTTACCATTGTTTTCTACGGATGACATTTGTAAGGCGATTTCATCGTCACTCTTTTTCCATGCCTTTCAGATTGATTTGAATATTTTTGTTCACATGCTCCCGGAGCAGTAAAGAACCATTTGTCTATTTTTAGTAGTGTCAAGGTTTTGTGGGTCGTTTTTTTATTTTTCCATTAAGTTCTTTGTTTTGATGTGCTTAGACAGCTTGAATCATCTTCATTCAAAGATCCATGCTATGTCAGGCAAAGGTAGCACGGAGTCATGTTTTTTTGGCGTTGCCCTCGAGGTATGTGTTATGCTGCCTTTCGTTTTCGTGCAGGTAATTTTTCTTGTTCTTGGGCCTGCCGTAAAGTTTAAACGCTGACCCGCTGAATTATTTGGTTTGTACATTAATGTCTTTAGGTGTGCTATGTTTGATGATGGTTGGGTAATAGAAAAATGATTGTTGATTATAACTAATGGTGTAATATTTGTAGGATTCGAAATTGAAAGCCAGCGTTTCTGCTCCAAAGGTGGCATCTGCGGCAGACAGGGGTCAAGCAAGCCGTTTGCCTACTAGAATCAAAACGTTCATTCCTCGTCCTAGAGCTTCTGCTGCCTTATCAGAAGTTAGGAGACAGACAGCGTAAAAGCGTTACTACTGTTTTTCTTATTTTCCTCTCATATTGTTATTTAGCACAGCACCAAGGCTGACCAGAGGTGGGCCGTCCATCAATGTTCGCCAAAGCAGGTGGAACGAGGGCTGTCTATAAATAAAATCAATAAACATGCAAGTTGTAGTAGTGGCTGCGGTGATGAGGACAACTGACTGAACCAAATATGAAACGAACTTTCAGTGTCATTTTCCGCAAGCCCTCCTGTAACCGAACCATTGTGTAGTAATGAATGATAAACTCCTATTATGCTGACTACTACTCTCCGAGCCGACAGCGGCTACAAGTTGTTTTATGATCTTTTTGTTGCCACCTGTTGTCTCCAGCGGGTCTGGGAGGCGGCTTGGCGACGCGACATGTCATGCGCAAACTCAGGAACATGACATTTCTAAGCGCTGATGGTGTGACTGACGGACGATTCGCATTTCCCTTTCGTCGATGATCTAGTGACAATGGCAAATGGCCAGCGTGCTTGCCCTGTAAATTGTATGAAGCCAACGCGGCTGTCATCTTTCAGACAACCAACTTCCTTGTCTAGTTTACCGTATACCTTCATTTATTAATGTTAGTGTACTTTTCTTTTTGAATAATTAAAGTTTAACAGCGCTGTTTATGTTGTTTTTTTGTGGAAAATGTTCATCGGTTTTTCTTTGTTTAACGAACAAACTAATTTGTTTATCATCATTTTTTTTCGCGTCCTGAAGAGAATCACTGCCCTTGAAAACAAATGAATGAAACTTGTTTCTACGACGGTCACTTCTGTCTAAGGTAAGTAGTTACTCTTTGCTGACCTTTCATATTTTATAAAAGATCTAAATTTGGATAAAAATTAAAGACAAGTAACCCTTCTCATAGCGGTACTTATTATCCTTCCTTAAAGGGTGCCATATTGTCTTTGTGTCCACCTATTTGGTTTCATCAGTGACGGGTGTCAAGTTTTTTTGAAGATGTTATCTAAAGATAAGTGACTACATGGATTGCAATACATATTCCTTCGCTTCCTTCTTGTTTAGTGGTTCTCATTAATTTGTGTTGGACAGTAAAAATACGACTAGCCATGCGCTTTAGTGCCTAAACTGCCCTGAAAATTTATCTTATCTGATATATCTAAACATTTAGAATGCAAATAATTGATAAGTTCGGGTTTTTCAAAAGAATACTGTAGTTAGATCTGGGCAGTGGTATTGTATTAAGTTGTATAGCGATTAGTTTTATTATTATTTAAATGCATGTTTTCATTTAATTATTTAGATCCGATTTAGTTCGGATTCAGTGAGTGCGCAACCACTGTTAAATCACTTGCTTGATCTGGAATGATCTTGAATTTGGAGGTGTCGAGCCACCTCTTTGTATGGTCGTGGTTGTTCATGAATTTTGAGTGCTTTATGTATAAAGGCAAGGTTGCAATAATATGAAAATCGTTTATAACGTGAGATACACGTGAGATCAAGCAGAATGCAGTCTATTTATGTGGCGGCGGAAGCCATGCTTGACTGATCTTGAATGTTTTTTCCTGACTGTTAATCTTGGTTCTTGTCTTTTTTACCGTCACAGCTTCCTAGACCGTTCTTTTTCGCCAGTTAGTTTCCTTGCCTCTACGATACTGTTTACATCTCGTTGTATGGCATGATTCTTTAGTCTGCTATGTTCCATAGCTTCAGATCTTTTTGCATATATTCAAAATAGCCGATCCAGATATTCGTTGATGCGGTCCTTCAGCTTGTTGTCGATTTCTCCAATGTAATTCCCTCTACACGATGAATTTTTATCCGGCATATGTCTCTGCATACTGTTATTTCGGTGTGATGTCTTTCATGCATAGAAATCTGCAAACCTTGCTTAGGCATCCGCAAACAGTGGTTTCCCTGTACCTCGTCAGCAAGTGTTTCATTCCTTCTCTGATACTTTCACTATCCGCTATTTTTCTCTTCAAAATAATTTAAATAAATATTCTTTAGACTCAGCTTATAATTATCCTTGTTCACAGTGAGATTTGGTTTAGTTTCTCGGTACGTCGAAGATTACGTTCGATTGTAGGACACTCTTTAGGACCCTGAGATCACCATTTGAGGATAGATATCATGAGAAATGTTCGATTCGCCTTGTTTTCTGCGTGCTTAATTAAGCGTCGTCTGAATGGCCATGAATACACGAAGAAACTGTAGGGTCATAACCGTGTTCTTGTATTATTCCGTCACAAAAAAATACTGATCAATCCACAGTGTGGAAATGATGTTTTTGATTACAAAGAAATATCTTTCGACTTCGTTTGGTTAGAAAAAGTTTTCAGTTAATTAGCATCTTCTTGGAAGACCAGTGGTTATTTCATGTCTGTATGACCACAAGCTGACCTAATTCGATATGACGAATTTTCATCAGTTTACATGTATTGCATAAAAATATTTCAATAACCTTCATAACCACCTGCGATTTATGTTCAGAAGCGTGCACATCGTTAGTGCTGCTGTTTCGACCATGCTCTACGACTCCGTTTAGAGACACAGTCATCGACTATCCGTTTTCGGGTATCTGGATTATCTGTTTATAAATGAGATAAAAAGTTTTCAATGAAATGTCTATCACGGCTCTACTTGAATCAGCTGCTGTAGAGGGTCATCCTTTTCACAGACAACTACGTTTTACTTTTTGAAGGTTCATAGCATACGGTTGAAACGCTAGCATTGGTCCATCGCCGGATCTATTGCGTTGCATTTAAATTGTATTGTATTTAAATTATATTGCTTTGTGTTTAAGTAAGCTGTTTTCCGCTGCGTTTTATTTGGCAAAGGGGTAAATAACAGTCCAAAACATTCGGTTCACATTCGGAACCGGGGTTACTCGGTCGATACAGTGTCAGGCTCAGAACCGAGAGGTCATGGCTTAGAGCCATGGTCGGATCACTGGCCTTTCTTCCATCTAAGGTTGGTAAGTGAGTACCACTGTGAAAAGGAGGTAGAATGCTTCATGCTCTGCTTGTCACGTAGCTGTTTTCGACTCTTTCTTGAAGATAGGACATTCATGGTAGCGGTGATCAATGCTGCAGGTGTCCCATAGTCATGAAAACAAAGTTGCAAACTTTTCCTTCTGAACATTACTTCGACGAAAAGTAGGCGTTCACTTTCATTAGTCATTTAGTGTCGCGTGAATTCCTGAAGAAAGCTTATTACCCTTCTCGCCAACAGAGTAGAGCTGTTTGTAGATGGTTCATTTCTTCAGCAGTACGAAGATTTGTGGCCACGTGGGAACGGGAAAATACCAGTTATGACGCAATTCTTTTAACACAACTACCCAATTTTGCAGTTTCTGTACAGGTCACATCTACATCTGCTCTGGATAGAGCTTTTGTATATTTCTTGTTGGTTCAGCAAAAGGCTCGACCTCGTACCCATAGGTGAAAATTCCAAAATTTCAGTCCCATCGGTCATTCACATTCTCCTTCTTGCCAATGCCGCTAAAATGTTCGAATATTTGACCGCGGTGGGATCGCAAAATGAAACGTCAATGAAAGAATCATCTTTATGTATTCTAAGAAATTTAGGCTACTCAAAAGTAGTAACCATTTCCCGACGCATATGACGGAATTCAAATGGCAGTGTAAACTTGCAACAGTTGGCCAGACAGATTAATGGACTGCTGATTGAAAGGATAAAGAGTCACACAATAATTTCCATGAAATGAGGTTACTCAAAGAGCACACATATTTTTTTCGCTTTTACCATCAGTTCTGCTGTCTGTGAATGTGAGTCAGTTTTCTTGACCCTGGTTCAGTACAAGCAATAAAACTAATTTTCATAATCCATAATTCCATTTTCATAATTTCATAATCCTTCGGCTGTAAGGTACAGCTTTGAAAATACAGTAGGGCTTTTCATCTGTCTGTTTTCGCATGTGACGTATATGATGAGAGATTCCAAAATGATGCAGTGGCTTTATTCGTAGGAACAGCGAGATGACGTTAAGGAAATTAGGTTATATGTGTGATATCGTCTATTCTAAGTGATAGAAGAGGTCTCACTTTGTTATCAAATCTAAAAACAAAAGGCGATGACGAGTAAAGAAGTCCCACAAATACACGCTATAATGCGATATGAATATTATGCTTCACTGTCTTAATACGAACTTAGCAGCCTTGATAAAAAGTAATTGAATTTAACTTGTTCGTTAATAACGGCAGTAGATAGATTTTCAGGATGTTTCACGATCGGCTGCTATAAGGAGACTGTGTCTATAAAAGCGATCGCTGCTGCTGTACTGACATTTGGTCTGTGTCTTAGTGTCTGTGGTCATGGCTGGCATGTTTCCGTTTAAACACCCTTTCTGGTCAGGCAGCGATTACTGGGACTGGCCAGCGAGCAGTCGCATCTTCGACCAGCAGTTCGCGCTGGAGCCAGTTCGCGACCTGCTCAGAGACCCGTTCTTCGACATGAGCACACATTTCTCGCCGTACTGGATGCGTCCTCGTCGTGTCGACCGCATCCCTTCGTCGCCGGATGACATCAAAGGCGTTTCTGAGGTGAAGAACGAGCCCCAGAAGTTTACCGTCAACATGGACGTGTCGCAGTTTCTGCCAGAGGAGCTTAAAGTGAGTAGCAATGACACTAGTAAACCATAAACACATTGTAAAAGATAAACGACTGTCGAAGGATTGGTCTCTACACGGGCATAGTCTTCATTAATAATTATCTCGTTATGTTATCTTTTAATTAGTAATACCGGCTTTACACGGAGGAAGCTAGAAAGAAAAGTGATTTTCTTTACAGCAATTTTGC